TATGCGAGAATTGCATGTGTATACTAGCACCGAGTAGGGAGAAAATTCTGAACAACTGTCCCCCAAACGAAAAGATCTTGACTTCCTGAAAAACTTTGCCAAAGACATTTATTCTTTATCTCGTCAGGATCTAGTGATGTATCACATGCGAGAACTTAACATGTATACGAGCACTACCTAGTGAGAAGATTTTGAACTACTGTTAATCAGCAAAAAAGCTATGATCTCCTGAACAGCTTTGCCTAAGACAGTAACTTCTATCTGCTCAGGATCTCGAGCTATTGTATATGCGAAAATTGCAGCGCCACGTAGTTAGAATTTTCTGAACTACTGCACCAACGAAAAGATCTGGACTTCCTGAAAAACTTTGCCGGCGACAGTAACTTTTTATATGGTAAGGATCTAGAAATATTTTATATATGCGAGAATTTTACATGTATACTAGTGCCGCGAAGTGAGTGAAGTGAAGTGCGGTTTCCATTCACATTTTCTCTATTATCCTCATTTCTGTGGGTTAACTGTGATAAAATTTTAGCTTGTTTAGTTAAAAACAAGTTTTTTAAGGAATACCCGTTGGTTTCATATCGATTGGTAGCTCGGCTGCAAAATGGCAATGGAAAACTCACACTGTTGTACAAAGTACAACGCGCGAGTACTCGTGTTATAAAAGTTGGCGTGAGTAACGGAGAGGGCGGTTTCGTGAAAATTAGTCTTTTGGTTGCTTAATACCTGACAATTTATATCAATTTTCTTATCTTATTTTGTAGTTCAATTCATTTATTCATCACTTCAGTAAAAACAGTAGTTCATCACTAAAGTGATTCAGTAAAAACAAAGAGAATTGCAAATTTGATCATAAATCAATCATTATTGACTATTTTATCAAGAATATGTCCCCTGATTTCACGAAGTAAAAACTGCCGTTCCAACGGCAATTGGTTTTCCTCAGCCCATGTGATGATAGTGTCAATACTGTTCAGCGCTGATTGATCTGGAACTGGTTCGTACTCCTCATCTTGGTTGTCATCTGCTGTAGAAATGTTTGCAGTTTCATCCAGAGTGGTTTTAGTCACGCTTTTTCCTTCATAAAAATGTGAATCATGGTTAAGAACAGCATTGACTATGCCAGCATCAGGCATGACATCGAATTCCGCATTCTCGTCTTCATTTTCGCCTGCAGCCGCTTTATCAGCAACCATCAGTTGAATTGTTACACTATCATCCCTGGTGCTCTAAACTAATATATGCAATGTTAACGTTTCAAAAACATTAATGGAAAATTGTCGAAATTGATCGAGTGCGTCAAGTTAGGAACCGCGTCAAATACGGTGCCTTCACGGTGGCCGTGATTTTTAGCCAAGCTCAATTTTGTCTCTACACACTCGTGAGAGTCGCAAGACTACGATTTTTCTCAAGTTGAGGGGTCCCATGGCGTGGTTGGCTACACGTTCGCTTCTCAAGCCGATGGTCCATGGGTTCAATTCCATTGATCTTCTTATCGTATTTTGATGTATTTTATTGTGCCTCATGATAGGTTGTTATCCAAGTCCGATTCTGGTCACTTTCCCGGGGCACCTGGAACTTGTCCGGAAGTGGCCAATATGGTCCAAGGTACTTAATTTTTTCCACCATTGATCTGGTTCTCGAATTTTGATATAATCTGATGTGTCGCATGATAGGTTATTATTCAAGTCTGGTTCTGGCCACTTTTCCGGAGGCACCCGGAACTTGCCCGGAAGTGGCCAATATGGTCCAAGGTACTTAATTTTTGCCACCATTGATCTTGATATCAAATTTTGATTTAATTTGATGTGTCGCTTAATGGGTTTTGTTCCTTTCAAGTCAAATTTAGCCTCATGGCCCATAAACACCGAAACTTGTTCCGGCCATATCTACGAAACCAGTGGTCCGATTCCATAATCCTTCAGTAACATTCAATGGGACAACTAAAAACATTAAATGAGACCATATAAGACCAAAAAAAATATTTTTTTTATGGCTCGATTATCCGGAGGGCTCGATTATCCGGAGGGCTCGATTATCCGGAGTGAATTTTTTTTCAAGACTCCGGATAATCGAGGCCGCCCTGTATATGCATTCTGCATATATATAACACAGGCAATTTATGCAATGCATCAACTAATATATTAATATATTAATCAATCATCTTCATCATCATCATCATCATCATCATCATCATCATCATCATCATCATCATCATCATCATCATCATCATCATCATCATCATCATCATCATCATCATCATCATCATCATCATCATCATCATCATCAACCATCATAGCATTATAGTGAAATCGGGGAAGAATTTAAAGAAAGTTCTTATTAGAATTCAATGTGAATTTAGGGGCAGCTCCTGGTGAATATATCCCTTGAATAGATTGCTGTTTTTATATATTCTGCAAGACCACAGAAATTTCTTAGAGCTGAGTAGTAACACTATCAATTCGAACGTACGATATCAAAATTGAGAAAAACTATATGCAAACGTTCGTTGGATTCGTGACTTGACTAAATCATGTACATTAGGACATTTAGAACAAAGGTGTTGAAGTCAATTATAATTCTGAATTGTTAGTATTTGGGGATCTATTATAATTATTTAGCTAACGTTCCGATTCATATTTCAAAAATCTGCATATTTCAGACACTTTATAATCATATCTTGAAATACCTATACACCTATATGATAAAAATATTAACAATTATACACGCTTATTCCTGTAGTCAGCACGCGCTTTTACAACCATATTTTATAGGTATCGCCCCTGAATGATAACATTGCGGGCGAAAATATTAACGCATTAATTTTTTTGTTAAATAACACTTTTGTTTGAATAGTTTTGATATTTACTTTAAAATATCATCTCAGATAGTTCAACTTAAGCATACTTCAGAAATGTATCGAACAAATGAATCTAAATAACCAGCCGATAAGTGTTCAAAATATGAATCAGAGCGGTATTCTATTCCAATTTGATTGTTTAGTGATAGTTGTAGCACAGACAAATATTTATAACATTCATAAGTTGTTCATCGAACAAGCATTTAACGGTCAATTTAAAAGTATCTCAGTTGGTAGTACTGCCACCTGTGGCGCGCATATTCAATTCCCTTGCGTTTGACGTTTACATACTACCGCCATCTGTTCAGCGTAGTATCCACCACAGTGTACTCAACAGATGGCGGTAATGTTTTAGCGACTATGTTTTACAGCGAGAAATATTCAATGTGTTATGTCTGTTTGTCTGTGGTTGTAGCATGTAATCGATTTTGATGAAATTGTATAGAATAGATATGTACAATCTGGAAACTTCAGTATTAAGACTTGAAAACTCAGATGTTTTTTCCTGGAACAATTTGTTCAATTTTTTCACCAGACCTTGAATAACCACTTCGAAAGAACGATCGGGGGTGATTAAAATATGGCGTCCACTCTTGCCATGGATGTCATATTTGAATCGCCAAATGTGAGAAAAGCTTCTAACTCAGTAATTCGGTATTTATCGGTATGAAAAACAGAAAATCTGTATTATTTTTGCCCTCAAATATTTATCAAGATGGAGCTTAAAAATCGGTTGAAATGCCGATTAATCGGTAGGTCTGGTAACGCTGCCTACAGGTTCTGAGGCTCGAGAGAATAATCCAAAAATTGGTGATACTCAGCACCAGAGCCATCGTCCGAAACTTCCTGGGCCATGACGACGACGATCTGGTTTCGGAAGAGTTAATTGAGTAGTGAATGAGTGTTGGATTTCTGTTATATTTCTCAAACATTGTTTGGTTGTAAATTTTTACCATATACATGTATGTGAAATAAAAACATCGACATGTTTTGAACTCATCATTATTGGAATTCGTATATGACTTTCGTCCATTTGAGCCTCGGATTGAAAATCGGTTTTTCAAAGGTATTCATACCCAATGGTAAACACTTAGAAATAAATAATTTCACACATGATTTCCATCTTTGACATAAAGGATCAGACGTATACAAATATTTCATGTTATATTAAGTGCTCCGAGACTGAAAAGTTCGTTACTCGACGAGAAGTACGTTTGATTGAGTTGAATTTCACGTCTGTTAGGACTCAATTTTATGTCAGTCTCAGAGCACCTAAATTTTCATGATTCTTTCCAAGTGTGTATTACTACCCACCGTTCATTGAAAGAAAATCAAAAGATACTCGAGGAGATACAAGCATAATCGATCAGACTCAAGGCGGCCATTTTGAAGCTCAGATTTGTTCTCCAAAATGGTGAATTCAACATTTTTAAGTGAAGTGATTCTGATCGAAATGATGTCTGAGACAATATTGTGGGGGAAAATAAAGTCTTGGAAGAATATAAACGGTGAAAATTTTAAGAATTTTGATGAAAAAAATCAAATAAATCAGAATCTTACATATTTAACGATGACATGTTATTAAATTAAAAATATTTATAGTTTTATAATCTCCAAATTTTATTTATTATGCAGCTCATATTTTTCAAAAAAAAAAGTCTTTCTTTATCTCAGACGTCATTTCGATTTTAAGTGACATTTTCATGCTTCGAATTACTGGAAATTATCGAGCTAGCAATATTTTAATAATTGCAAAATTCAAAATGGCCAAATTTTAGCACACATTGGATTCATTGCTCTTAACAAGCAATACAACAATACAAAATTAATGCAAATCGGAGAAGGTCGAGTCCATTTTTTTTTTCTTTCTTGTTATTATGTCTGGAACTGCTTATATCCATTTCCAACAATGTTAGGCGTAACATTACAGTTGAAACATGAAGCTGTAGTTTAAAATAAACAAAGACATTTTGCCCAAATGAACAAACAACAATTCGGAATTCAATTCTCTCATCAAGATTTGTATTTCTTCACACTTATTTCACTACTGCAACAAACTATCGCCACCAATATTGAGTGTAGCAATTCTCGCATTCACTTTATCACATGTTTAGTTCTAGTCCTTTTGAGTTCGATCAACAATATTTACAGCACGTATGGGCTATACGGGTAGGCAGCATATGGAGTCGCATATGGAGCGGCATAAGCAGCAGCATAAGCAGGGGCAGCAGTATAGGCAAGAGGACCGGCAGCAGTGAATGCTGGCGCAGAGTAAGCTAATGGAGCAGCAACGGCGGCGGTGTAAGCCAGAGGAGCAACTCCGTTGTAGTTACGAGTGATGACCTGGGAGCTCTGGGCAGTCGCGAAAGCAGGAGCCGGTGCAGCAAACAACGCGGCAGAGTAGGCAACCGGAGCGACGACTCCCGGTTTGGCACAGACGCACGAGATGGCCAGGGCGGCGATGCAGATCTAGAATGGGATTGAACAAATTAATGATCTGGGAGCTGTTTAGAACTTAATTTCACCCAATCGTACCAATTTGATGAACATTTTGATTGAGTTTGGCGATCGTTCTGTGGACTGTTTGAAGATTGCAATTGAACTATGATTCTACTCCAATAGTGAATCGATTTTTATATAGTGATGGATTTTCCGATGGTTCTCGCTTCCTCCCTTTCCCACCCAGCGTTTGTGTGGTACAGCAATTGAACTTGAAATATTGCGCTTTTCGTTTTGCTTTGATGATATACCCCCGTCCACGGTTTCAATGCGCTTATTGTGGCAGGTGTGACACTGAGGACATTTAAACTTATTTTGAGTACGAATAATCAAATTGGACTATGGTTAGTTGTGCTGTTGATAGATTTATGTGGTGGCGCTCTCTTGTGTCTAAATTGATAAAAAGTGTTACAAGTGGCAAACCCGATGATTGGAAAGGATCAGGCGGTATACATGCAGTCAAATAAATTTCAGTCTAACTTGACCTCAATAATCACTTTTCTTGTGAATAACTGAACTCAAATGTTTATCATACTCGTACATGCTCTGCATTGATATCACATTTGCTAACTGCAAAGCTGTTTTCTTATCCGATACTACGGCATGAGGAACAGAAAATTAAACTTGAATTAATCACATGTCGAATCAATTTAAATATCAACAACGTCATACTGTAACAGTCCAAATGCAAAAATAAGAGGACCGAAAGCAAAATCGCCCAAATTAGAGCACGAATCCGAAAAAAAATCCACTGAGAGGGGGTAAAGCAAGTGTGGTCATTTAGAAAAACCGTTACAATATAAAAATCATACCTCCGATGCAGTAGGATCATAGTTCAAATACACTCTTCAAACAGTACACAGCTATCCACAAACCAATTTTCAAGATGTTCACCAAATTGGTACAATTGACTCAGAATTACTTTCATCATCAAGTTCAATAATTTGACCTATTCCAATTTTAGATCTGCATTGCCACCCTGGCCATTTCGTGCGTTTGTGCTGCGCCAGGATATGCTCCCGTTGCCTACTCTGCCCCACTGGTGGCGGCTCCAGCTCAAGGTGTCCTGACCACCCAGAGTGCCCAGGTCGTCGGCCGCAGTTACGCAGGAATTGCTCCTCTGGCCTACGGCGCAACCGTTGCTGCTCCATTGGCATACTCTGCCCCAGCCGTGGCTGCTGCCACTCCTCTGGCCTACAGTGCTGCTGCTGTTACTCCATTCGCTCGTGCCATCGCTTCTCCCTACGCGGCTGCCTACTCCGCAGCTCCATATGCCGCTCCGTTCGCATCTCCATATGCTGCCTACTCCACTGCTCCTTATGCCGCTCCATTCGCGTCTCCATATGCTGCCTATCGTTACAGCCCGTACGTGCTGTAAATGGTTGAATCCTTCACTAAGAAATAGATTGGCAAAACATGTTGTATACAATTTGAGTGTTGTGATGTTGCAGTATTTTGTAACAATTGTGTAGTCAAATACAGATCAAAATTAGACACTTGAATTTCAATCTCATAATCTTCCATAGAACGACTTGAATGCATTTAGAACAGGAACCTGTGATTTTATGACGTCCTAGGATTTGTAGATACAATTTTGCTTGTCAAGCTGATAAACCCAATATGAGTCTACAACGTCACTGTATAATACTAAACTCATCTTGGATGACTCTTTGCGGAAAAAATGGTACGATAACCTGTTTTTAGTTCAAAATGTTTAATACCACACCATTGATCCATATCGTTTTTATGTATTAAAGGCAGAAGGAACCCCTGTTTGGAATCACACCATCTTTTCCGAAATTTTAACACGACAACGGTTTGTTAAGTATTTTTGGGGAGAAAAAATAATCTTGATAGTCGGCTTCTCCAGATGACCCCAAACAGCTTCCAAACCATTCCGGTGGAAACCCAACAAACAATCGTCTATTGAAGAAACGACTTCTTGGTCATTTTATTCAACTGAAAGCTTAATAGTACTTGTACTATTTTTAATAATAACTACTGTTCAGGCTTTGTTCACACAAATCTGGAGAATTTATTCAATCACAACATTGAACTACTTGGTGTTGTATATGGTATGTCGATAAGCTTTTATTCGACTCATATGAGTTGTAACAGAGTTTATACGATAAAATTTTTGATTATACAGCGTTTATTAGACTTCCTTAAAACAGTGATGCTCTGTATAACGCTTGACTCTCATGTGAAGTAACGTTTATTTAGACATTATTATACATTTATTAAACGATTATTCAACTGTGGGAAAATTAACCAAATAAGAGAGACGGGGAAGGGTGTGTTTCTTAAGTGTATTGTATTTCATTATTTCTGACGTGGCTCGCACCACACAGATATAAGAAAATTTATTAAATACTTATACATGTTGTTGCATGGGATTCGAACCATGTACCTTCCGATCACCAACCGCTTGCCTTGTCATCTGAGCTATCCTAGAATTCATCATATGGGCAATTCAATAATCAATAAAAGCTCGCTTGAAAGTAAATACCTACCAGCACTCCCGATCGCAACTCTAGCTCCTTCAAGGCCCTGTGGGAATGATTAATTCATTCATCGTTGTTTAAATTAGACCAATGTTACAATGTTAGTCGAAAGAAATTATGCTTGGTCATATTTTAAACTAAATCAATGCATTCATTGTCGTGAGTCATGTCGATGATTGCTATTTAAATCAATTAGACGTAGAACTTGTGAATGGTTGAGCTTGGGATTGAACTCACGACCTTCTAATTGTAAAGCGGAAACGGTAACCACTACTCTACTGATTCCGTCGTGTTGTTAGACTGAATCAGTGTTGTCGAATAATGAATCTAATACGTCGTTTATAAAGCATTTACAAATCATGTGATTACAACATGGACGCATAGTGGTATAAGAGCTATTATGCTGAATGTATTCACCTTTATTCAGCAATATTGTAAAGTAATGTAATGAAAGCATCTTGTTAAATCAATTGAAAACAGTCGAATTAAAGTGTCAATGTATGTACAAATTGCACTTATTCAGTTTGTTATTAGATCAAACTTCTGGCGTTGAATTGGAAAGACATTTGACACTTTTACAGCTTTTAATAAGTAAATTAATCAGATCAGAGGAAACAGTGGAATAAATGTGCATCTATCGATCTCAATGTGCTATTTCAGCACATAACTCTTTTTATTCAGCATTGTACATATACAGCATTTATTCAATATATATGCTTATTTGTGACTCTGAAGTGTTTGTTGGGTGGTATAAGAACTATTTTGCTGACTGTATTCACCTCTATACAGCAATATTGTAAAGCAATGTAATGAAATCTAATAATGGAGGTAGAAAACATTTATAAGACGTTTAATAAAGCATTTTATTAAATCAATTGAAAACAGTCGAATTAAAGCGACAATGTATGTGAACATAGCACTTATTCAGTTTGTTATTAGACCAAACTTCTGGTTCTGAATCAGGAAGACAGTCAACGTTTATAAAGCTTTTAATAAGGAAATTAATTATGTCAGAGCAAACGGTGGAATAAAGGCGGATCTATCGATCTCAATGAGCTTTTTTCAGCACATAATTCGACATCCTGTTTTATTCAACATTGTACACTATTATACAGCATTTATTCAATGTGTTTGCTTATTTGTGACTTTGAATCGTTTGTTGGGGAATCCAGTGTAGTGCGACATCTATCAAAAATTGGACACATTTCTGGATGGCCTTGAGAAAGGCCACCAAAAAAATTTCTTTGATCAGTTTCCGGTCACGCTGGAACCAATTGCTGAGTAAATTCTAACTCGTGATTAAAAGTGACACGGAAGTAATTTTCCATTTTCGACTGTTTTGAATGTTCGAAAGTTATTTTCGATAATCCCTCTATTATCGATCGACCGGTTTTTCAGCAGAACTTAGCCACGATTGTCAAAATCTAACTTCTCAGAAATAAGCACGCTCGGAGAGCATTGTAAATCTTTAACTTTGCACCTGTCACTATTAACCACGAGTTAAATTTACCTTGGCATTTGGCTCACAGCCTAAGAACCAAATTGGCCAAATTCGGAGACGGTACTGGATAGGGTAGTGTAAAAAAAAAGTGACCAAAATGTGTTTAGACTGTATTCCATTTGACGAGTTTTCACTTTAAATTGATCAACCGATTTTTGAGAAGGTGATTGCCAAAATTGATTCCTCATCTGTCAGAAATAAGTTTGCTAGCAGAGTTGGATTATTTTTAAAATTTCCATCGGTCTAATTTACGTCAAAATTTGCCAAAAAACTTTACCATGCTTATAGGCAGCTCCAGACGTTATACCAGAGAGGGACATAATCCCAATTGAAGCGATCCGTTTGATTATAATATTTGATTGAAGCTGGGGGTGTGACACATCCAAATCTCAAATGTGGGATTCAAATGTGTAACAAGCAATACATTATATATGGAATAAACGTCACGAAAAGTGGGAGGGGTGTTGATGCATTGATGCATGCTCCCTTTCAGTGTTTTCCAGAGGATTCTATCCGTGTCAACTACATATCGGCCAATCAATCTAATTTTTTTGTCATGTAATTCGATAAACGACTTAATTTTATGTGCACATAGAAGCACTTCAAAACAATAATGGTTGAAATTTAATTATAAACACATCTAGATGTGAAATAGCGTCTTACAATTGAATACCACATCAACTTCTGAAAAGTATGACATGCTTTTAAAATTAGATGTCAAAAAACGTGACCGAAAAGCAAATTCTTGACAGATTGTTATGTCCAAGTAGATGTAAAATTACATGATGCCTAAGCTCGGCGACAACGAACATGAAAGCAGTAAGTAAAGCTTTGATCGTCATCGGCAACGCAAGCCGCAGTTTTATCGAGTAAAGACCCACGCACATTAGATCCGGATCAGACGCGTTGCGGAAAAGTGATAGCTAAATCCAGTGCTGAGTTGCATCACGGTACTGACAGCCTTTAGATTGATAAAAGAGAATCCTACGGTTAACAATCAAAGCAACTGAGAACCCTTCTCACCAGTTTGACACAACAACCGTGAGATATTGTCATTTTGCTTGTCTCACTCATTCGCAATATCACTGATATCTGTCATGTGGTACCATCATATCACCGAGGAAAAATAAACATACATGTAAATTGACCGTCATCTCATTTCGAGCATAAACGGTTATGACGGTCATTCTTCTTCCAAAATCACGGATAGGGCGATAGTTGTGCTGTATCAAGGAAAAAGTTTGATCCTGCATTCCACATTCGTATCATACCAGACATTATTATTGTGAAAATTCATATCTGCATGAACAAGTACTACCTGCAGTCACGAATGCTTATTTATGGATGGAGATTTTGCAGCTACTTCTTTTTCTGGATACCGTGACACCTGAGCTCCAATAATAAGGATGCTGATCGCACATCGTATTCACATTACCGAAGCCCAAGTATCAAGGGATCCGTAAAAAGCAATACCAATAAAAATCCTTTTTTGAAGAGCTTTGAGTGTGTTGGTTTATTTCCTTTAAAATCCGTTATAATTGCTTATGTCAAAAGATACGCATATTTCGTCTACTACTTGCAGACTTCATTAGTGCCAAGTACTCAACACCACTTCAAACAGTACTTGGCACTGATGAAGTCTGCAGTACTCGTGTACATCATCGATCATCACTCACGTAAATGAATTCACTGATCTAATTTAAAAAATAACCCAGCATCCTTTCCTTGTATATTGTAGAGGATTTGGAATGCCTTATGAGCCAAAAAATTTGCTCATGGACCAACCTTTTGAGCGATCTAGAGTTATGGACATACCGATGCTCTACCCACGTCTACCAACCAACCGACCGTGGCCTAGACGCTGACTCAACAACATCCCCGTATTCGACTCCATGCACGAGGCACCTGGCGACAAGAATCAGCATATCACACCACATGGATGGAAACAGGCCAACGCTTACTCGACAATGCACTTTGGACACCGAAGAATTCGATGACCAGCAATTGTCAACATAGCAGTTGACGATCGGTTACCACCCAGAGGAGTTTTGCTGAGACAGCAGGAACAACAAACAAAACCAGTTGCAGAGGCAGGAGCGAGTGTAGTTTTTGTTAGGTTCTAGTTGAGAAGAGTTGTTGGTCAGATTTAGTGTTAAAAGTTAAATGTAATTACCTTTAAGGGAATAAAGATAATTATTTTTTTTTATGATGCCAAGAATCATCCTGGCATAAGTCTAGTTCAACATTAAATTTCATTAAAGTTTTAGTCGGCTCCGACTCCAACTCCTCATGCTCATAAATGCATCCGAATCCAACTCCACAGCCTGAAACAAATATAATAGTTTTTGTGCCACCCCAATTTAATTCTCATCAAAATATTA